GGGCTCCTCTAGGGGCTCCTCTAGGGCTCTCTAGGGGCTCCTCTAGGGGCTCCTCTAGGGGCTCCTCTAGGGGCTCCTCTAGGGGCTACTCCAGGGGCTCCTCTAGGGGCTCCTCCAGGGGCTCCTCTAGGCGCTCCTTCCTCAAGGGGCTTTTGTAAAGACTCCTCCAAGGGCTCCTACAGTTGCAACCGAGGGGGCCACCACTCGCGTAATCCTGTGTACAGATGAGGGTGTAATCCGTATGTAATCCTTCCGAAATCCGCGAAAAACCTGATCAAATTTTAAACTATTATCACTAATATCACTAAATTTCACCTTATTGTCAAAATTTAATGGTTTTAGAGCCAGAAATTCAAAAAAATTCATGTGTAATCCCTCAAAATTCACGTGTAATCCCTGTAATCACGTAATCCTGTGTACATCCTAAATTGAAGTGGTGGCCCCCTCGGTTGCAACTTCAGGCACTCCTGCAGGTGCTCCTCAAGAGGCTCTCCCAGGGACTCCTCCAAGGGTTCCTTCAGGGCCTCCTCTAAGGAACTCTCCAGGCACTCCTTCTGGCACTCCTTAAGGGGCTTTTCCAGAGACTCTTCTAGGGCCTTCCCTACGGGCTTCTCCGGTCGCTCCTCAAGGAGCTTTTCTAGGGACTCCTCCAGGGACTCCTCCAGGGACTCCTCCAGGGACTCCTCCAGGGGCTCCTTCTAGGAGTTCACTGAAAAAATCCAGGCCACAGGCCAAGTCTGAGCCACCTGAAAGTAATAGATTTAGAGACGATGTGAGGCAATCAGGACCGTAAGACGCACACATTAACCCCGCGTACCTCTGTAGTTAGACTGTACCGCACGCACGAGTGCGGACGGGTTGCCTACGCGCCCAGCCCGTAAGGCGCCGTGGACAGGGGCGATAGGCAAGCCCGCCCGCACTCCTGCGTGCGGTACAGTCTAACTACAGAAGTGCGCGGGGTTTAATCAGCCACCTGGTATAATGTTTGTGACTTATCCCCTTGGCGTGCTCCTTCGAAACGAGGTGGTCCAGGCATCCCGATCAATCGTCTGTCGACGAGTTTGACGACTCCTCTCGGGACTCGGTGCCGGTGCTCATCATCATTAGCCGGAGTGGGGTCAAATCGGGTCCCGTCGTAGTCCCTCCCCCAGTAATAAGTGGCTCCAGTTCAGTTGAACAAGCCGTCGTAATAAGTCGAAGTTGAAGAAGTAGGAGCCCGTCTGAGCGGCCCGTGCTGCTCCCCCGCTCCGCCACCGCGGCCGAGCCACCCCCGGGGAGAGGGAGCAGGCCCAGGGCCTCTGGAGAGGGTGGCGGCGCGGGGCCACTGGAGGCTCCAGCGCGGAGAGGGGCCTCCGCGAGGGCCGCCCGCCGTGCCGGGGGCACTGGCCTCCGCGGTGGTCGCGGGCGGCCCACGCCATGCCATAGGCCCCCGCGCACGCCACCGCACAGCGCACACCGGGGCGTAACGGCTCGGCGCGGAGCAGCACACTCGAGCGGCACATACAATGAATGAAAGAACAATCACACGGATGAATGAAAGAGCACATCACACACACGCCACAGGTGCCCGTGCGGTATTGATCCGCAGGGAATTATTCGTGATTATTGAACCAATGCGATGCGGTTGCAAAGAAAGCCAGAAATGCATCGTCGAAATTTGGTCGATTTCATCGATCGACGTGAAATCGACGTCGATTCGATTATTTTTGTCACCTAAATCGACGAATTTGTCGATTCGACGTCGTTTCGAGTTTGAATTTCTGGCTGAGTGAGAGTCAAAGTTTCCCGATCGTCGCACCGCACCGCGGGCGCTCCACTAACTTTCACTGCGTTCCCCCGTATACTGTTTCATAGTTTGGCACACTATAGTGATTCAAGCTCATAGACGAAGGAGAATCGTGCGGGTTTGCCTACCCAGGTGGCTATGGTGCCTTCCGGGCAGAGCGGATAGGCAAAACCCCCGCACTTGTGTATTTTATGAAACATCCGGTACATTTGCAAGGTCTCAAGTAACTGTGCATCCATGGTGTCCAAGGTTTCATCGTAACTCACGGTGAAATTCGCAATAAACTGTTTACAATTGCCAACAAAAATTGACAGCAGTTTGGGCCCAAAGAGAAGATTCGAATCAACGTGAAAGTGTCACGTTAAATCAACGTTGAACTGTCATATTAAATCAACGTTAAACTGTCACGTGGAATCCACGTGGATCATCCATGTGGAACCCACGTTATTTTGACACTTCGTTCCACCACTTTTCAACGTTGTCATAACGTGGAATGAACTTGTCTGTATGTGACACATTCGGGCTAAGAAAACTCATTCTTATAGGAGGTAATTCTTTACGAACGCCGCCACTTTACGTGTGTATCAACAGCTCAACCTCTTCCATACGCCCAACGCCCAACCACTCCACAAAAATCGTTTGAATGCAGAAAATGTATTTGACCGCGTTGTCTGTGAGCCCCCCCCCCCCCTTTTCCTCCTCGGTGGGCCAGCCGGAGGCCGGAGGCGGACTCGCGGAGGGCTGAGGGGGATCGGATCGGATTACACCCCGGGGCTCCCCGACGGCCAGATATACGACGAGGGAGGTAACACACAGAGAGGCATATATTCAGAAGATCTCCGCTGCAGTGGGAGTTGAAAGGTGTTATTTCACAACTTTTCGATGTGTTTAGGGGTTCAGTGCCTCTTCAAAAGGCACTAAACACAAAATTTCTTTAGCACCCCTGCAAAGGTGCGACTTATTTGGACTTGTTAGCACCTCTACTTTTATAGTGCATGGCCGTGCGGCAGGCGTCGCCTCCGAGGCAAAGGTGATGGGCGATGGGGCTGCTGAGTCGGGAGTCGAGTCCTCCGGCTAGCGTTGAGCGTGAGTTTAGCGGGCGTCTTTGGTCGTCCGATCCTCAACAGCGCCGGAGCAGCGAGCCGACAGCGCCGAGTCGGAGAAATTGAACCAATCTTTCTCGAAGTTTGTTGGCCTTGGGGGTGCGCTCTGCCTTGTCAGCAAGGCAGTGGCGCGCCCGCTTGCCGGAACAGCTGACGCGGACGCCACACCCGCCGTCGGTATCCCCACTGGAGAGACTCCGAGTCTCACTCCCCCCCGACACCCGCGCGTGCTTCAGCAGAATGTGAGGAGAAACGCCGAGAAATGCCGCGCAGAAGTCGCGGCAGCGCGACGGCCGCGACTGAGTATATGGACATCTCATCTGCACCATATTGTAGAGGTCTCTGAAGGCATCTCTTGCCCTCAGACTCGTGGAGGTCAGATCCCTCCATCTCTACTTCCCGCAGCGAAGTCAAATAAAACACTCCTATCATGAACAGAGACTCGAGGCCCTGCCTACTATGTAGCCTAGTTCGCACCCTTTCCCCCTCAAGGGAGGGTCTGCGACGAGGGGGCCAGGGGCCACAACTTCGGAAATCTGGTGTACACTCACCCTGGCTCCACTTCAACTGTAACAAGACGACTTTGTATGCTCCTTACTTAAGCGGTTATGGGGGGAGAGGGAGAATTTTAAATATTTTCAACCCGAGTGCTGAAAAGTATTATACACACACGGCTTCGCTAGAGTCCTTCAGTTACTCTGGGCTTTCGATTCGCACATCAGCCATCGACGGCCGAGCCATAGATTTGAGCCTGAATAACTGTTCACTGTTAAAAATTTCTTGGGATTTCCCAAAGATTCACCCTTAATCACTACTATAAGTCTAGAAGTTCCCAGCGGGCTCCGTTCATAGTGTTCATGTCGCAAAACAGCGGTTTATTAGTCGTCTTAGTGTTTTGAAGCTTAACTCGATACGTGAAATCTACGGAGTCCTCCGTGAAATCCTTAAAGACTTTGTCAATATTTTTGACGAGTGTTATTCCTCCGCTTGAAATCACAGATTTTTTTTCTGACAGTGTTCGGGTGGAGAGTCGTGGAAAAGTGAGTTAGGAACAAAGTGACAGGGAGATGCGGGAAGAAAGAGAGGCGAGCGGCCGGTTCTGCGGGGCTCGCCTTGCGCTCTGCGGCTGGCCAGGCAGCGGGCGGGCGCCCCTGGACCGTAGGCAAGTCCGCGAGACAGCCGTGTGCGCGGGTTGCCTACCCCGGCCTGCGGGCTGCCAGCGGGCGCGCTGCGTCGTCTCCTCTCTGCCTCTCCTCCCGGCTCGGCGGCGCGGCTCGGCGGCTCGCCCGCGCCCGCGGCCCGGCTCGCCTCCCGCCCGGCTGCTGCCGCTGCTGCTCCGCGTACATCAGGGGGGAGGATGAGGAGGAAGAGGAGGGGGGGGGAGGGAGAAAACCACCCGTCCTGCATGTAATGTAATGATGCGGGGGAGGGGAGGGGCTTGTGTGCAGTGCGGCACTGTGTGCTCACTCGGGCGCCCGACAGCTGCGGACTGCGTTTGCGCTTCTTTCTCTCTTTGCCTTCCCGTTCCAGGCGGGCGGAGACCCGACGACGGGGACCTGATGCGTCCAGCAGGCCGGGAGGAACATTATTCCATTGAGCTACTACTATGGGCTCGTATACGTCGAGTTCACACGCGCCGCCCTCGTCGGTTCCCTCCGACTCTGTAATATATTTCAGAGTCGGCACCGCGCCGCTTATGGGGGACAGAGCGGAAGGCGGCGGGGTGGAACCAGCCTCCGGGCGATAAGGGAAGGGGCGTCCGGGTCGGCTGGGAGGGACCACCGCGCAGGAGGACGGCGGCAGACGAAGGCTGGCCGATGATGGCGGACAGTCGACATATATTTATAGCATTTCGATCGAACGTCGCCCAGAGGGAGAAGGGCGCGCGCCAGAGGATCGGGGAGAGAGAGAGAGAGAGGAGGGAGGGAGGGGGGTAGGAGACGGTGCACGACACCTTCGTGACACCTGCCGCCTCCACCACGGCGACATTGCCTTCCGGGGAGACAGGAAACACGATAGCGAGAGTAGGAGCCGAGTGCCCCACAACCGCAACTGCCCAACCCTCCCCCTCCTCAATCCAGCATTGAAGGTAAGTTTTGCGTTCCTCCCAACAGTAGCTCTGCGCCATCGCCCGCTCTTCCCGCCCCTCCTTGGAGGCCACTCTGCAGTATAGGTTGTGGCAGCCGCTTAGTTGGCCATCCCCACGCTACGCTGTTTCGCGCTTCTCTCTCTCTGTCTCTCTCCGTTTCTCTCTCTGTCTCTCCTCTCAGCGAGCGGGGCACAGAGCTGAGTGCCGTGCCCGTGCCCCTCCGCGGCCCCGCCCCGCCCCTTCCCCCCCGCAGGCCGGCTGGCGCTGTTGCCGCGCTAGGCCCGGCCAGCAGCACGCTCAGCTCAGACGGTGCACGCCGCCCCGCCCCGCCCCGCCTCACCGCACAGCGCCGCGCCCCGGCCCGGCGTTGGCAGCCACAGGCTGGTTTGCGATCCGCGCTGCTCTGCTGGAGAGTCATGGAGATGGAGAGGAGAAATGGGAAAGGCGGCGGCGGCGCCAAGCCGCAACGCGCGGCAACGCCCCACGTCGGCAACCTGGCAGCAGCGTAGGCAACCTGCCTGCCTACCGGCAGTTTGCAGGACTGAAATGGCAGGAGGGCACCCCGACGTCGGCGTCGGCAGGCGCGACGCTGACCAGTCGTCCCCGTGACGCCACCTGCATGGACGGGTCTGAAGGAGGGCCCTTCGGGCCAGCGGCCACCGCCCATCCGCCTGCGTAGTTTTCACCGGGCAAGGGGCGGTGGGGTGGGGAGGGGGAAAGGGTCGGGCCTGGAGTTTCTCTTGGGTACGCGACATTCAGTGGGTAGGGTCGGCCCCC